GACAAAATCTCCTGGAGATGTGAGGTTAAGAGATGTCATCAATGCGGAGCAAAAGGGAGATCTCCCACAGGACCAACCAGAAAACTGGGGAGCAATCGAAGTGGTATAAACTGACTGGGACAAGGGCAAAATCAGTCAAGAGACTAGTAACACTTTCTGACAGAAGATTGGAGATCATCAGCAACAAATAGCTAAAGAAGGTTGTGGATCATCACGACCAGTCAATCACTAATCTAACTCTAGATAACGAAAATGTGCTTCTCAAAGGTATCAAAACGGCTAATTCCAGTGGAAATAGGGAAGCAGTATGCCATTGCACAGGCTCTTCTGCAAGTTCATGCTTTGTACCACAGACACTCTATCTTTCCCTTTCTTCAAGGTAGACACGGACAGAAAGCCAGCAGTAGAGGGAAAGCTACGAGGAAGGAGAGGATTTTTATAACCTACCAACAGAGAGGCTGAGAAATTACTTTCTAACAATGCATATCAGCTTAAAGACTACCAAGGGAAAAGAATCATTTAAGCTGGGAAGAGGTTTTGGCTCAAGATCAGATAGTCATAAGACTATTACAGATAAATTTCAGCTGGCAATTAAAAGATAGCTCCTAAGCAATGAGAAGCAAGGGGGCTGCAAAGTCTGCCAATCAAAAAAAAAAAAAAAGCAACACCACTAGGCACACACAAAAACCTCCCCAGAATCTCACCCATTGTTTTTAAGATAAACCACAAAGTGCTTTCCCAAAAGGTCTTGGTGAAGGGATTTCCTATAATTAAGAAACTAGATTCAGTAAACCCCTTCCAACTCTCTGGTACAAGTCTGGTAATTGCACATCACAGAGGAATTATTGCATTGACAGAGTTACTGAAGCAATTAATTAGTTTACTAGCATCAAGAAACAGTAACCTACTTTTGTAGTGCTGCAAGACTGGGAGAAGGAAAAGCAAGAAAAAGCTTCAAGTTGCTTGCCCAGAGGGTACAGACTGTCATCCCCAGGAGTCCTCAGGTCACACAGCTGTGGCACCATCTCAGGTGGTGCCTCTGGAGACAATGCTCAGAGACATGTCAGGAGTGCAGCACCAGAAGGGTATTAGGGTAACTGTGCCATTCATTAAAAAAAATCAGGTGGAGGGGAGGGAAGCTTTGATTGGCTTGAAATTTGAATTGCAGTGAACTGTATGATCATACAGGAGATATGCAATATATGGCAGCCCCACACTGCTGCTTGCTCCATATGGACCACCCAACATCCACCTTTAGGAAACTGGGAATGGGCTTCAGCACCTCGCCTGCTCCTGTTGGCACTGTAGATAGACTCGAGAAATGACAAACATGATAAACACAAGGCAGCACTTCAGCTAACAAAGACAGGAGTAAAACTAGCAGTGTCCACTTAGGAGAGCAGGGAGACCAGATGAACTCAAAGGATGGAAGGACAAAATCTGTGAATGATAGAGCACTGGTAGCTCCAGGAGGAGATTCCTGAGAAGCCCTGTTTATAGCACTTCCATTACTCCTCAGTTTTCTGGTTGGTCCTGTGAGAGATCTCCCTTTTGCTCTGCATTGATGACATCTCTTAACCTAACATCTCCAGGAGATTTTGTTTCTGCTTCATTCTTCTTTACACCCGTCTTGGAGGGGGGGAGGTTAATTAGTTTTTTACTTGTGGTTTAAATGCATATTTCTGCTTCCATCTTCTTTACACCTGTCTTGGGGGGGGGGATTAATTTGATTTTTACTTTTGATCTCTATTACTTTTTATTTATATTTACATGAGTCATGCAGTGCCTTAATGTATATTATCTCAACTCATAAATCTAATTGTTATCTATGGGGGAGAGTCAGGCTGGAGACAAGGCATTTTATTCCTGCTTGGAACTCGTTATTGACATGGCTTTTGGAAGCAGAGCAAGACATTTCTGCACACCTGAGATGAGAGTTTTACAAAGATTTTTTTACAGACAGCAACTATTTGTTACTCAGAGGAAAATAAACATAAGAAGCATTAACCCACTAGGATGGCAAACAGTATAAATTTCCTAAGACTTCAGAGCATTTGGTGACAGCTTTGTTCCAGGGCATTTGGACCCGTCCCAGCCTCACAGCAGTCTGTAGCCCCAGTGTTTGTCTGGTGTGCAGCACAGTCAGGAGTGGTGAGGAGTCATGGTGGAGCTGGTAGAAGCAAACTCACAGGTGGGGGATGCTTGAGGTGAGCCATCTCACACCAGCCTTCCTCAGCATTTGGAAATGTCACCTGCATTGGTGCATCCCCCAGCAGCCTCAGGACTGCACCAGCCAGCAGCTGAGGAAGGAGCACAGCACAGCACTGCTACCCTGAGCCCACGGGTGAGAAAAGCTTCTCCAGATGGGTGGCACAAAGTTCATTTTCAGATGCAAGTATATAGATAGTGAAATGCTTCATCTGCTTTAAAGTGATTTTAAAATTGCACTCAATTAAAGGTTTTGGTTTCTTTAAATTGAAAGTAAGAAAGGGAATTTAAATTGAATTAAATTGAAAGGGAGAGGGAAAAAAATCCCACACCAGAAAAAGCCAACTAGGTAAGATCCATCTGATAACAGCATTAAGCAAGGCTGAGCTCCTCCACTACACAGCCCAAAGGCTTTAGATGCAGGCAGGTTAGTTCAGAGAGCCACAGCTCATTCCTATAAATAAGTAGCCTCAACTATTTTTGTCCATGTGGACATGGAATCACTTCTGCAGTACAAGGTCTACAAGAACCTGAGAAAACAGCGAGCCCTGTGCTGGGCAGCAGCTGTGGCCTGTCCTCCACACACACTGTGGGGGAAAAAGATCCACAGTGAGCTGCAGGCTGAAGGCTATGCCCAGGGACAAGTTCCAGCCCTAGGTCTAGGACCTCTCTCCTGTTTCATGGGTTCCCTTCACTGCACAGGCTGCCCAGGGACATGGTGGAGTCACCATGCCTGCAGGTATTGGAAAAACGTGTGGATGTGATACTTGGAGACATGGTTGAGTGGTGGTCTTCGCTGTGCTAAGAGTTGGACTCAGTGATCTTACAGGTCATTTCCAAACTAAATGATTCTATGGCAGATTGATCATGTCTGCTTTAAGGGCACAGCTCTGGGGCAAGGGATAAAGCTGGCTGGCTCCCTCCCCAACAGGAGCTGGGCTCCCCCCAAATCAGCTCTCCCAAGTGGCATGCACTGCTCAGCTGCACACAGAGCCACGGCCATGCTGATCACAGACTCCTGAAATAGCTGAAAGCACCAGGCAGCAGCGTGGCATTTATTATTGGAGGCAGGGACCCAAACACGTTTGACAATCTGGTTATTGAGGTGTAACACAGCAGGTGCCAGGCCTGCATCCAGCCTCAGTTAGGAACTGGTCACTGTGGGAAAAGAGTTTTCACCCAGCACCACATGCAGCAACCACCTCTAAAAACCAGCCAGTCACGGATTTACCAAAACAAGGGAGAAACAGATGGGGGTGGAAAAAGCAGGGAGAGGTGGATGAGAACTGTTTGAACTTTCGCCCACAGACAGAAACTGATGTGCAGCAGGAATCATTTTTGAAACCACTCAGTGGAAGGTCAGCATACTCCAGGTTCAATATGGCTGATGTGCATTTGTTTCACCCTTCCCACCACCCCCACAAACTAGAAATCAAGCATGGAGTTTTTCTTAAGAATCTTTACTTTTTTTTTCCTTAACTTAAATTATACATCCAAAATACAAGTATAAAACCTCACAATGAAAGATGGGGCTAATTTCTACAAAACAGTCTAAATAATAATGCACTTAAATCATTTACACAATTTTCCTTCACAATAAAATAGGAGCACTTAGATCAGTATTTACATATTGACAGAAGATGTGGCTGTGCAGCCATCCACATCTGGCTGTCTCCTGCTGGAGTACCTCTGGGAGACTTGCCTCTGCAGGGAACAAGCCCTGCCAAAACCCTTCTAGGTGCAGGAATCTACCCAAAAGGCACCAAACAGACCAAAATGGTGGCAAATATTTGCTTTTTCATCTTAAAGCTGCCACTGCAGCACACAAGCACACATCAATGAGTTATTTAAGGAATTCCCTGATACAGAACTTTGCTTTGCTATATTAGGCACTTCATTATACAAGTTATTTAGTATGTCTTATGCAAAAGAACTCACTTTCCTCAGGATATATGTTTGCCAGATTGAGTGGGAAAAAGAGACACAGATAAGGGCACACTTTCAGCCAACGTTCTGGGTTAGCCTGCATTAGGAATTTGGATCACATTACTTCGTATCAGTAGTGAAGGAAATATTTTATCAAGACCTGTTCCTTCCAGCAAGTCAAGCACTCAGTGTGTTTTAAATCTTAGTATATCTGCACTTTGGTGCAAAATCCTTGGTATCTACAGATTTCCCTCTTCCAGTAAGTGAACTACTTACATCCATGCTGTTCCATGTGCCATGGGGTGACATTTCCCACATATGATTGTCTTAAAAGAGTACACTGTAGGTTGAGGGATTATTTACATATCTTAGTAGTAGAAGATAAAGTTGTAACTTATGAAATAATAAATACAAATCGGAGTACAAGATTGAAATAAAATAAATTAGTATGATTCCCTAAGGTGTTGAATTCCTTCTCTTAAGGCCTGAGTCAAAGATTCAAAGAAACAAAAAAAAACCTGACAAGTGATGTATTTTAAATGGTTCAAAAAAGGTTTTGTATAGGGCTTCTAATTAGACACTGTCTGTTTGAAAATGAGATGTGTAGCTAAGATGGTGGGTATTTGAAACATACATGATCAAACAGCAAAACTCACCTCTAAAAGGATTCTTTTGGGTAAAACCTTTTAGACCAAACATTAATACTGTTTTTATTGGGAAGAACATAGTTCTCAAAGATTGTCTCAACGTTAATTCAGCAGCAAGGAAATAAGCATATAGTTAAGAACACAACGTATTTGTGAAGCAAATACGTGTTAGTGCACATGATTTTCCAGAAACTTCACTCCTCAGCTACATTTGTGCATATTTCAGAATGCTTCTAACTAGTTGGTTAATAAAAATCTTCTCATGACTATAGCTAAGTTTGCCATTTAAAAAAATTAACTGAAAAACAGTTAGGAGTAACTTACTCAAGAACGATGCCAAATTTCAGGTCCAAATATATCAGAACACCAAGAAATTTGGAATCCAAGTAAAAAATTTTAAAACTTAGGTCTATCAACCTCTAAAAAAGAAAAAAAATATTAAAAGCAGTGAATCTGCTCTCAGAATTGCACACTCACCAGGTTTGTAAACTCTACATGAAGTCAGTGATGCACTGTTCACTATAAGAGGTATAATGTGGATGCTCTATGCAGAGCAGTGCAGATGCTTTTTGGTTGCAGTTTCCTTCACGTCTCCTCTTTCTCCTCCTTGAGGATCAAGCATCTAAAGTAATTCAGTAGCTAAAAGTGTCTCAGAGGGAGAGGCCTGTGTTTACATGGAAGGGGAGGTGACAGGTGTCCATGTGGATGCCAGCCTGGCATGTGCAGAGGTGTCATACTGGCTCTCGGGCAGCTCGGCGGGCGCGGTGCCATCGTACAGGGGGGAGGCAGAGGAGGCTGCCGGCACGGGGTGGGGCAGAGCAGAGTAGTGTCCTGGAGAGCCACGCAGGAACTGGGAGCTCAGCCCGTTGGACATCCCGCTCGGCTGGGACACCGGCGTGATGGTGCTGTTACTCACAGACCACAGGTTGGGGTACTGACTGAAGAGGGAAAGCCAGAGATAAAACCAGTTATTAGTGACTCCAGTGCCTGCTGGCAGCTCCTCAGCTCACAACACAGCCCCTAGGCCAGGTCTGTCTGCGGAAACAGTGAAATTCTCTAGGCAGTTCCCAGCCACAGCGAGGCAGGATGGACCCCCAAGAAGAACTTGTGCTCATGGCATCCCCACAAATAAACGGAACTCCCCTATTTTTCAAAAGATAGGAGGTTAGATAAAAGGGGTGGCAGAAACACATTCCTTGAGGTTCCACAGTTCCAGCTCTACTGGTTTTACTGAACAACTCAGTGCAGGAATTGAAACTCAGGGAACTTTGCAACTTCCTAAATATGCATCCTGGGGATCAGACAGAGAAAGAAGTGCTAGAAGAACCTCTTTACTCAATTTATCTGTTCAGGACGAAAACTTATGTTCAGTAATACAGTTAACTCATACTGGGTAGTAGTAGGTAGCCTGATTTAACTGTTAAGAATCCATGTGCATGGTTCAAATCCAAAAACACTTTCCACAAACAGAATGGTAGGTCTGAATCTGCAGAGAAATATGTCTGAATCTTGTTTCTCTGCAGTTAATAGCAAATATTTTACCACCTTTTCTGCATCTTTTTTCAATTTTCAAGTTTAGCTCTAAGGGACTAACTGCAAGCTAAATTTTTGCGAAAGGACCCAAAAGTTTAATTAAGATAAGTACAAAGAGGAGAAAAGATTCATTTTTTATGATCACAAAATATCAAAGACTTTCACCACATGTACAATCCCATGCTATGCTAGTTAGCATAGCTTGGCAATGCTTAAGTAAAGAATTACTGCCCCAACCGTGTGCTCCTTCTCCATACTACAGTTCACTGCTCCATCATTTGTAGCAGAACAAAGGTTTATGGAGATGGCTGGGAAAGCTGTGACCAGTAAAAATAGAAGGGAAAAATAAAATAAACTTTTTAAACACCATTATGCATAAAAGAGATGAAACTTGAGAGCATTCTTAAATTCAATCTATGTTTGTCTAAACAATTTGCAATCCTTAATCCATCGAATATTGCTGTCACAAGTATCTACACTTTCAAAACCAAAACATAAAAAATAAAATTCTATTTCTTCAATCTGTTTTCTGTATGGACAGTCCTTCTCAGTGCTCCAAAAGTGCTAATGGGTCATACCAATGGCCAAAATGCCTTCTAATATGCTGGTGACTCTTTACCTCCTTTTTCAGCCTTTTCTTCCCAGAAAGTACCAATACAGGAATTTGAGGGCTGCTGAGGGATGGAACTCCTACCTGGAGCTGGTAGCTGTGCCAGTGCTGTGACCCATGGGCAGCATGGCTGTGTGTGTAGTAACTCCCAGAGAAGACCAGTTGTCATGGGACTGCAGCATGGACAGGCAGGCAGAGGAGTTGTCAGCATAGGCTGCTGAGAAAACAAGTAATCACTTACAAACACTAGAATTAGGCCAAACAGCAATCTTGTATCTAAATGCAATGCAGAGGTTTAAACCACCCTTCCCCACTACTGCCTTGGGAATGAAAATAAAATTTTACACACAGAAAAAACCAAAGCCAGTAACCAGCTACATCAAGCTCACACCTTTATCGGCATTGCCCTGATGTGTTGTTTTGCTTCACTCATAACTGCAAAACCTTATTTCTGTGAAGGGCCTGTGGCCAAAAGGCTGTCTGCAAGCCAGCTGCTAATTCAGCACGTGCTATTTTACTCAGCCAGTGGGAAAAGGAGTCACCTGGAGACCTTCCATCTCCATCACCTACACTGGCAGTAACAGTCTGGCAAAGCTGGATAACAAGCCTATCACTGGATCATACATCCCAGTTTGAGCTGAGCATGCCACCTTGAAATCTGCCTTAGGCACCATCAGGAGTGACTGGACTGTGGATCAGACTACTTGGCTTGTGACCCAGACTGGCTGGCTCACAGAGCAGGGGCACTAGGAAGCTATAAAGGGAACCCCATACAGACACCCATACTGAGAAAAAAGCTGCTGTGGTATCTAGCTAAGGGAAAGAGGTTTTTTGCTGAGGACCAGGGAATAAGAAAGAAAACCATAGAGGTTTTGTTCTTTTATTCTTTTTTAAGACTTGCACAAAATTTCCAATATGCAAGAGAAGTTCACAGAGAGCTAGTTTTCCACTTCAAAATGGACTACAAAGCTACATACAAGATAGGTCAGGCTGCATCTAGAAGCCCATGTATTACTTCACAATTCAAAATAATAATTTTTTTTAAATGGAAACCTTCAATATCTATACAGCCTGAAAGCTAAAACTGTTAACCATTCTTCTTTGCCAGAAGAAAAGAAATTTTAAAAAACCAATGAAACAAACAAAAAACCTCCACTGCTAAAAATGCCCTCTTCACCCTTAAGTACCTAGTGCACGAGGTACTAAGTCTTAAGAGATTTGGCTACTTCTGAGCACATCTTTTTTAAAAGCTCTGCAGTTTACTCGGCTCTTTATTATTGCTACCCATCCAGTGGTGGGACTTTCACAGACAGACACTGACTACATCCATAGTTAACAGAAACTAAAAATCAGACCCTCAGTTTTAAAGACACTGGGAACACGTACTCGGCTCAGCCCTCCCTTTTCACAGAGCTGCAGGCTCAGACTCACTTGGGGAGTTGTTCCTGTGCGTGTAGGGGCTGGTGTAGGGCGCGGGCCGGTGGCTCCTCAGCGATGAGTACCTCTCACAGCTGTGGGCAGGGGACAGCGACAGCGGGCCTCCAAACTGGCCGTGAGGATTGGCAGGTGGGCACAGAGCCCCACTCCCAGGAATAAGCCAGCTACCTACTGTGGGGGAGCGAGAGGTCTGTAAGAGGGGTGCGTGGTGCAGCCGTGCAGAGAATCACAAATAACTGAACAGCGAGGAAATGCGAAAGGAAACTGAGTTTCGACATAGCTGAAAAATCTGGATCTTTACAACTTTGGTAAATGGTCTTATGAAAGAAAATTAGAAAGCAGCTTAGAAAAAGTCTTGTGTCAAGCTAACTTGTTTTTAAATTACCATTTAATCACAACCACAGTGAGGAAACATGGAAATTGTTAAACTCTCCCATACGTAGGTAGTATGTGTTCAGTAATTGTTACCATAGTATTCAGTTTTAAATTGTTCTTTAGGGGTCTCAATCTATAGCTAAGCTCTGAAGTTGCTCAGACTGCTAAGAACTCTTAAAAATTAAGTTTTTTCCCTGAAACAAATTAATTCCTACTGCAAACCAACTCACCCATCATTTTTAGGTTGCATTTTGTTGTCAATCATCTGTTAAAACAGTAATCATTAAAATGCTCACGCTTTTCAATCATCTGAAAGAACATTTTCAGCAAATGCCCATATCTTAGAGTACTTAAAACATGAATATTGTCTCAATAAATTTTATGAAATAAACTTTTGTCTCCATGTCTATGTGAACATTGCTGTCCTTGTATAAAAAGGCAGAAATCTTTTTGGACATAAAGGGAACTCTGCAGGATTCTATTAAAAGATTTTGAACGCAATAAATCCTAACCACAGAGATTACAGTGTTTACACAATCGTAAACATGCATGAACCACAACCACAGAGATTGCTAACATTCCTCTCTCTATGAACTAACAAGCTAGCCATCAAGCACTGGTCTTGAAGTTTGCTTAACTTAGCAGAGAGTAGATGGAAAAAATCAAAGTTATGCTCACGATGCACAATGAAAGGAAACATACACTGTGAATATCCAGACTGTTGGTTGTCTCCCACTTCCTCCATCATGTCTTTGTGATCACTTCTATAAAAGAAACCGTGTTGTATTAGTTAAGAATACGCCTTCACAAACTTATCTTAAAAATCCCATTTTAGAATTAAGTTAAAAGCTCTCACCTTTCTTTTGCATCAAGAAATGCCTTTGCAAACGGATTGTATTTAATTTTTAAAGCTGTGATCTAAAAACAACAACAAATATCTTTATTCACATGTATCACCATTCATTATGACATTGGTATTAGGATTTGAATTGAGACTATCCACTGAAGTTGGTAAAATCACAGATCTTTGAAGAAATAAAAGTAAGCCCATAATAGCAACTGATGGGCACGAATTAAACAGCTCCTTAAGGTCTGACATATTATCAAAGCACTAGGAGTTAGTCTCTCTACCAAATTTTAAAAGACTGAATTGCCTGAGTTCATTGATCATCCAAGGAAACACCTAAGAAAGGTAGTAAACTAAGTAGTTATAAAAATCTTCACATTTCAAGCCAGAGCAGACTGGACATCAAAGAAATCTCAGAAAACTTGATAACTGCAACTTCATTCAACACAGATATGCATTTGGGCTAAAAGAAAAAGGGTTGCTCCAAAAATGGCACTTTCAATCATTGCATTTGTAAAAAATACAACTGTATTTTTTACCATAGTTGTTTGCCCCTCAGCGTCTTTTAAAAATTACTCCCTCCTATAAGGAATCTGCAGTACATATTGAGACGAAGAGTGGTCAGAACTTTGCTCTATAATTCATTCATTCATAGGGCTTTTACATACATTAATTTCATCTTTTATATTGAGCTTCAAACAAAAGCATAGGAAGCACTAAAACATGCGAAAGGAGATCCATTATTTTGCTCTGTAACATGCACACTTTGCTACTTGAAACATCCCGGTAGTGGCATCCTCTCTTCCCCGCTGTGCATACCTCCTCGTTCTGGTAGGCTGTCACAGCTATAAACTGGGTTTCTGGGAAGGAATGGCTGGTGATCATCCGCTGCGGGCCACCCACCCGCACTATGTGAATCCGTGGCTCGTACTTGTGCAGGGAGTTCAGCATGATCTGTGAACAAATACAGCAGGTGAGCAGCGACAGAGCAGTGACAGAAGCTGCCAGGCACGAAGGGCACTCAGGTTTAAGTATTCATCTTTCCATCAGAGGTGGAAAAGGCAGTAAGTACGAATAAAGCCTAAAGCTGAAGCTGTGAGACAAAGAAAGGCACTGAGGACAGACACCATAACTTTCTGCACAGTTATCCTGTTACTTGACAAGGCACGCGGAGTCCCAAATGCATCAATGATAACTCAGCCAGAAAGATCCATCTACCACACCACTGACATCAGCAGATATCCAGACCAGAAAGAGAGTTTCAAAAAAGACAAAGTGATGACACATCAAGGCACCCATCCTCTGCGGAAAGAATAGCTCTCCCGAATGAATGAACTGGGGGCGGCAGGGCGACCCATCCCAGCACGCTCGGTAAGGGAAGTATGAAAATGAGCAGTAAGGAGAGAGCGAGCCCGACAGGTCCCGGTGCCGGTATTTACCTGCCCGCCGCCGTTGAGCTTGTTGGTGAGTTTGACTTTGCTGAAGGAGACGGGCGCCTTCATCCAGTGCGCGCCGAAGTTGGGCGAGTCGGGGTGGATGTAGACGCAGCTGGGCGCCTGCGGCTCCGGCTTCCCGCCCGGCACCCACTCCCCGTTCACGTACTTCCAGCGGTGCCCGTCGGCCGCCACGAAGTCCAGCAGGAAGGAGTACATGGCGTTGGGGTCCAGCCCCGACACGCTCACCTTCAGCACCGGGAACATCCTCCTGCGGGGCGACACGGAGGCGCGAGGCACGGCGGCGGGCAGCCGCGACCCCCGGGCCGGCCGCCGGGACCCCCGAACCCCCGCGGGCGGAAGCGGGCTCGGGAGGCGGCGGGGGTCGGCGGGGCCCCTCCCTACCTGCCGTTCTTGGTGACGATCATCTCGTTGGTGAGCTCCTTGAAGCGCAGCCACAGGTCGCTGTCCTCCAGCGCCACGCGCAGCTCCCGCTCCGTGGGGTCCCCCTTCTCGCTGCCCGCCTGCAGCTCGCTCTCCACGGCGCTCAGCAGGTGATCCACGCGGTACTGAGGGGGCTTGCCCGCGCCCTCCGCGCCGGGGGAGCTCATCCTGGCCCCGCGGGGCAGCTCCCTGGCACTGGCACGGCACTGGCACTGCACGGACACGGCGCCTGGCCCGGCCGCCTCCGCGCGCCCTGAGCGGCCGGGCCGCTGTTATAGCCCGCCATAAACGGGCCGCGGTGACATCACCGCCGCGGCGGGGGGGCCCCGCTGATTGGCGGGCGGCGCCTTTGATGGGCGCGCGCGGCGCTGCCCATTGGCCGCCCGCGGCCATATCAGAACGGTGCCCGCGGGAGCCTGTGATGTTAATTGCAGCCCGCGGGATTAAACGCGGCTATTTTATGTAAATCTGCCCCCAAATGTTTGCACCTCTATCAAAGCCGCCGGGGCCGGGGCTCCGGCAGCCGCGGAGGAAATGGCCCATCTCGGCAACAGCCTCACAACCGGCCAGCGCGGCACCCTCCCGCCTCCCGGCGCAGCGAGACCCCCGGTCCGCTTCCAGGCGGGGAGATCTGGACGGGAGGCGCTCCCGCCGCGGATTCATCTTTTGGGGAAAAAACGGGAAGTCCTGTTCTCCAGGTGGCCGCGAGCTGACAGCAGCACCCCGCCCCGCACGCCCCTGCCCCCTTGTCAGAAACTTCTGCTGCGGGGAAGGGAGCGGCTGGCAGCCACAAACCTTGCGGGAAAAAACAGCCAAAGAGCTGGAACCGCACTGTCCAGCGGCTGGCCACAGACCTGGCACTGTGCACGGGCACTCCCCGCTTTTAGCGAGCCCATGAGCCCGCCCGTGAGAAGAGTGGCCGAGTTTGCCCCTTAGCACCAGCACGGGCAGTGCCTTCCCAGCCGGGATGCTCGACTGGTTTCGAGCCGTCCCACCTAAATAACTTTTTTTTAAAATCTGAAAATTAGATCGATAGCCATCCCACCTAAACAAAAACATACTTCTGAAAAACAGATCGATAGTTAAAGGCTTTGCTTGGTGTGGGAAGGAGAAATCCCTCCCGAGTTCCTGCGGGCTAGCGGGGAGGAATTCATGGGTGAAACTTTGCAACGCAGTGAATTTATTTTAAAGTTATTCGACACAAAAACAAGGGCCGGGACGAGGGAAAAGAGGGATGCTCTGAAGCACTCCCGCCGGCCGGTGTTGTAATAGTTTGCATTCTCCGGAGCTGCGACGGTCTGTGGTGTGAGGGAAGTTTATTACCTTTCCGTGAGAATCCCTGGATAGAGGGCGAGGGGGAGAGAGGTGACAATGAGCAGGAAATAGTTCAATGGGGTCTCTTTAAACAATAACAAGTTCTTTAAACGGGAGCAAAGGAGAGGGGAAAAGAAGGGGAGCGGTGTAAAAATCAGAGTTGTTTTCAAAACGAGCATCTCCTCTTCCCCAAACACCGCGCACCATCGCTGTCGGGATTTTTCAAATTTTAGGAGAAAGTGCCCGGGATACACTGTCAAGCTGCCTGGCAGCAGAAGGAGCTGGTAGTCAGGGCTGCCAGGGGAAGGCACACTGAAGGTCCCTTTTGCGGGATGCAGACGGCGATTTTGGTTTAGTAGCTGCGGCTTAGGGCTGTAGTTTCATTACACAGCACCATCAGGCTCATGCATCATTCACTTACTCAGCTCCTCAGAGGTTGCTTTCTGCCTTCGATCTGGCAAGCCAAACTCCTCGAGCCATCTCTCTTGAACCACTGTGCAGAAACAGGCGGAAAAAAAAAGTTATTCCTTCAGATTAATTCTTGTTTTAAAGTTTCTTAAAGCTCTTTCTGCCTGAGCACCTACTGCCTGCTTTTTGTCCACTTCAGAAGGGGAAAGCAGCATTTGCAGATAAATTAGGGGCAAAGTTTACTAAGTTGATACGTGGTCACTGCTAGCCATAGTTGGAGATGATCTTTTCGCTATCAGGTGTTTATTTCACTGAAGGCGCCCGCTCTCAGCAAGCACCCACGACCTAACAAAGCCCACGGACGCTCAAACCCAGCAGGAGCACGGCACGCTGGCCCTCGGGTGGGCCGGCAGCCCCATCTTCGGGTCTGTGCTTTGAAGGAGACATTCCCAACATCTCAATCCTGCAAAAGCCGAGTACCAGGAGAGGCTAACCCGAAGAAGGACTCGCACGGACAGCTCCCCGCTCCGTGCAGGTGACAGGGACAGAGGGGACTTTTGGCCCCTTGCAGAAGTCCCGTCACTTTTAGGGTGCCGTGCGCGGGGAAGGGGGGAAGGGGAAAGGGGACGAGAGCAGTGGGGGTGGTGGGGGTGGTGTTGGTGGGTCCTTGTCTTGCCTCAGCTTTTCCTCAGCTCGACGCCACCTGACAATGAACGTGTTTAAGAGCCGAAAGCAGGAACAGCCGGAATTGAAAGCGGCGGAGCGGTTTCGGTGGAATATGAACTGTTCTGAAAATATATAAATCAATATAATTAGAGACGATCTAAATTTTTATTTCTGTGATCTGAGCTTTTAAAACACCATTTAATCCTTTCAAATGGATGCTTCAAGAAAGGACCAATCCCTCTGTAGATACATGCACTCAAGGAATGAGAAGCCCTTCGGCAGCAGACTCCTATATGGTTAATATTTTTTGCATTGATCACTCTCTTTAGTCAAAGAGAGGAAAGCTGAAGTTGAGCTTGATTTGATATATCTCACATTTTACTTAATACTTAGCAAAAGAGTGAGCTGCTCGTCCCAGAAAAATAATGTATGTTCTCAAATTTAGCTCGTAAAAAAAAACCCCAGTATTTCCAGCTTTAAATTTTGAAATCACCATTAAAAAGAAAAAAAGTTTCCGGGAGTTTATGTATAATTTTTGGAATGCCATAAAATAAAAATAAAAACAACCTAACAACCGCTCCAAAACAACCAACAAACCCAAACCGTGAAGTTTTCCCTCAGGTTGGATTCCTGTCGTCTTCATTTTATTTCCTTTCCCCTCTTTCTGATCTTAATTGCACTTTGGTTCTCAGGAGAGAGGACTCCCCACTTCCACAGTCTTTTCAGCGGGAGCTGCAGTGCATGACAGTTTACAGCCAAAAAACTTCCTCCAGCCGAACAGCTATAAAGATTCCCGATTTATAGCAATACTTTCCCTCTTGCATGGGAAGATTAGTAGCTTCCAGCTGTCACTTCGTGTTCAGAAGGCCTGTCCGTCATTCCCTCCCTCATTCCCCGGGACATCGCAAATCCCCAGACACCTTCCCAGCGGGAACCAGCCCGTCCCTGCGGTCCCAGGGTACCAGCTGCCCCTCCGCAGCTTTAACCGCCTGAGGATGCCAGTGTGTTTAAGTATTGGAGGTATTTGTTTCAATATCCTGCAGCCTGCAGTTCTGGGGGGGACCTACGTGTTTAACACCACCTTTGGTACCAGATCCGTGTCCCTGCTGCACCCGGGCTGGGCCAGCACCCGCTGAGCCCGGGGGTGAAGCCCACCTTCCAAAGGTCAAAACTTGCCGCTTCTAATTCGCTGAAGAGCCAACACCTGCTTTCCCTCCACCTAGGGTTTTTAACCCTTTCCCCCCTTAAGAATAATGAACACATTTATCATTGTATATCTGTAATTGAGATGTGCATTTCTGTTTGTCAGTGGCTTTTTCCTGCACACTGAGGAGGAATGTCCTACTGATACTACTGTTGAGACATTGATGTCCCTGTAAATGCCATTTTCCTAGAAAGGCTCTGGATCTTGTTTAATCTGGCATATAATTTTCCTTATATAAAGATTTACACAAAGCCTAAAGATTGTGTTGGAAGAGCTCTTTATAAGAGCTCACCACTTTGTAACCCCAGCATGCAAACATATACTTACAAAGGACATGATAGCCTGTGAAAACGTGTATCTGTTTTGTCCATTTTAATGTGGGTATTTAGACTCTGGGATAAGTACGTTCCAGGATCTCCACTTTTAGTATTTAATAGGACTGATTTTCTCCACATGTTTTGACGTAAACACTTTTCGGAGAAACATTTTCTTTTTCAAGTAGTCTGGGCAGAGCACAGCATGTTGGTTTTGGTATGTTTTGCTTTCCCCCTTTAGCATTTGGGAGGCAAGGCAAAGGCAGAGTGCCATCCTGCATTTTTGGAAGGTGGCAAAACTCCCGTTGATTTAGTCAGATCTTTGCTTGAGTACTGCTAAGTGCCCTCTCCAGCTCAAATGCTCAGATCCTTAGGTTTCCCTCATGAAAGTCAAAGATCAAACTTCCAGTGACTTCAGTGCCTGCTGCACTAGACAGCACCAACTGGGGAAAGGCAACAAAATAAATTAAAGCTCCCATGAAAGTCCTTAAGAGAATGTCTGGCACAAAGATAGATGAAATCAGCAAACGTGGGAGCAGAATATCTTGACCTAGAATACCTTTTTCAATATCTTAGCAATATTGTTTCGATGACAAGAGCTGTTTAAACCAAGTTTTCCTGAGTGAACAAGTGAGAACAAGGAGATGACACAAACAAGAGCCACTCACCACTCTTAACAGACCATTTCATTTAAACCTGCAAAGAGGGACAGGCACAACAGGGACTACAGGGGATGCAGAGTGAAGTAGTAGAATAATAGATACTGTTTATTTACTGTATTATGCTGGACCAAAGGGTAAATTTTTAAAACTCCAATCAAGCGAAAACTAAAACAACAAAACAAACAAACAAAAACAAAACCAAAAACCAACCAACAAAACAAATAAGCAAAAACAAAATTTAAAAAAGTGCCACCCAACCCCACACTGAAGACATACTCTGCTTCAAACAGAAACCATAGAAATCTGAGGACAGAAAGTACTAGTGTTGTCATAAATGTCCCAGCAGCAGTCCTCTTGGGAGACAGACCCTCCATAAACAACACCTTTTCTTATACTTCAATCCATATAGTTCCCAAAGGACACTAATGTAAACTCTACTTGCTGAGATGTGCTGGAGGAGGTTAAAAAGCTTGTGCTCAGGTATTAAGTACAAAAGTCCTCAGATTTGCTGACACTAATGACCAAATGACTTTTACTGGAAATATTCATCTTTTCCCTAAGCATATGCCTGTCTTTATAAAAGTATGCAGTGCTGAGAA